AATAGAAAGAAACAATCCAGCTATTTTTGTATTTCCTGAGATAACACTCAGTGCAATCGTGGCATGTCCATTAATTATTTCTTTCTGTCTTGCAAAGACCTATTGGTTATATCCTTTGGCTCCAACACTGAACGTTTTTGAAATTTAAGTGTACATACAGAAAAGGGTAATTCACATCAAAACCCCTATCACAGGTTTTACAGTGCGACTACTATAACTGGGGCCACCTAGACAGTAAGAACCAATCAAATTAGAGAATGAAGACAATACCCTTCAACATATCCTTTTATTGCCATGAGAACATGATGATGGCTATCTAGTTGTCTACATCAGGGTCAAATTACCATTCTCATACAATCTAGGTTTCTGATTGGTTCCACTACCAAAAGTTGAAATTAATTTGTTTTCATTCCACATTTTAATTGGTTCTTGTTTAACTGGTCTAAGTGGTCCCTGTTACAGTTATTGCACTGTCAAAACGTTTTTTTTTTTAATCAACTTGTTTAGTAAGACAGTGGTAAAGAAAGAAAACACCATGAAGCACCATAAGCAACAAAACACCTACATTTGAGTAGGTGTGGAGGATTAAATGCACAAATGGATATCTTTTAAGTGTTTCACTTTTCGGTGTTACCCCCTTGAAATAAAGACTTTGCTTCACTTTACTTCATAATTTTCATGAGTTTGAAAAATATTTTAGTCTTAGTTAAAAGTGATGGATGTTGGCCAGAAATCACTCCCTTGGCAATATATTTTTTTTGCAAATTATCACACATCTTCTTTGTTGCTCTATACCATGCACTTTGCCATGGTCCCCTCTATCGCTGTACAAGTGGTACATGTGTACCTACATGGCAGGTTAGGTTTCTTTGCCCAGTCTCATTACTTTTGATGAGTTTAATTATAACCATGATAACTGCTTGGTATCTTACACACTTATTTTCATTCTTACTCTCAGTCAAGCCTAGACTATCTCAACTTTTTATAAATCAAAGCTTGAAAAATATTTGTTGTTCAACAAGATCTTTAAGAAAACTTAACATGGTGTTAACTCACTTGTGTCAACAGAATCTTTTATTTCTTTCTCTTGTTCAACACACTGTTTCAGCATTGGGTACAACACATCCAATGGCTTTTTCACATCTGTAATTGACAATATCAAGAACAAAAGTTGTCAGAAACATATAGTATACTTAAAACTTTTATTTATCATCAATTAATGCAGTAACTGTCATCTAAACCTACATGTATTCCATAAAAAGCTTGACATAATATAAAATTTAGATTCAGATATTCTCGGATTGAAAATCTTTTGAAAGTATGAGTGAGTAAATGTTAGTATTGATCAGATGTGTCCACTAAGTGTTGGTCGATCATTGGCTAACATCAGCTGCCAACTGTTGACTGTCATGTGTCACCTGGTCATAAATTATTACTTGATTACCATACATCATAATTATATTGCCACTTTTAGTGTTACGTCATACTTTCATCGAATGAACATGCCACATTAACAAAACTGTTAATATATTGATATCTATAATACAGCACAACTGAGGACTACATACCATCTTGTACACACTTGAAGTCAGCAGCAGATGCATTGAACAGTGCTAACGCATTGCAGGTGTCTGCCCATGCTGTATTAAATACTGCATCAGTTATTGCTGCATCAGTAGCATGTCCTATTAGTCTGTTACGGATTTTTTTAAGATCATCTAACGCTTTACTTTCAGGACTGGAAGGCAGCACAAATTGCAAAGATGAATATCGTAGCACTGAGGTGAGAAGTGAGAAGTCCCAGTCGTTTGTGTTTCCTGAGTTAAACTTTGTTTCTTCATCTTTGAACTTGAATTTCAGTTTGGATGGCTGTATTTTTTTCATTTCTGCTGCATCATGTGGTGTGTCATTCCAAGGGGGTGGTACTGTACCAGGTCTAACATGCTGGTATACTATTGGCCACTGTGTCTTAAAATACTCTCTTAACTTTTGGTTCCCAACACGGAACAACAGAAGAGTCAAGCTGAAGTAATTATCTCTGCAAAACACCAAATTGAAAAAAAAAAATTATTAACAGTCTGAAAAAGGGGCTTTTTCAGCACCATTTGCAATAAGTTTTATGATTGGATTAAAAAAATACATAGAATTATAATATGACAATAGATTGGTCTTTCAAATAATTAAACTAAACCTCAAAAATCAATCAAATTAAAGCAATCGAAAATTAGGTTCCAAATGGTGCAATTTTACTGTGAAAAAAGGATGAAAAGCTGCTCCAACTCTTCCTCACAGATGCCTCATTGTTTTAATACCAAAACCAGCCTGTATATATATTGACTTAAAAAAAGAATATGTGTACAATAAAGTAATGCAATATACTGCTACTCTGACGAAAATCGCTCAAACTTGGATTCAGCCGAAACTTCCTAAGAATACTCTTTAAAGGTCCAATAATCACTGTATGAAGTGTTTTCTTGATATTCGCTCCATACATTTCTTTGTATATAAATCCTTAATTTATTTTATTCCTATGAAGCCCAAAGGGTGGCTAGGGTGCTTATTTCACATTACTTGTGACTATAATTTATATTTTGGGGTGTTTGGGTATTTCGTTCTCGGCTTTACTACTGATATTTTGATCATAAACTACAAAGAAATGTATGCAGCGATGTTTGATGTTGAGTGTATGACGTCACAGACTCCAAAAAACAATCCTAAAAATATCATACTTTCGTACTGAATATCGAGAAAACACTTCATACAGTGATTATTGGACCTTTAAAGAGTATTCTTAGGAAGTTTCAGCTGAATCCAAGATTGAGCGATTTTCCTCAGAGTAGCACTATAAATAAATAAATAATAATTTGACTAGTAATAATTATTGAATATAATTTCCTTGTAATGTAATTTATTTTACTTCAAGAAGTCAGGGGAGTGTTTGCTCAGTCTCTTAAGCCAGATGCTCATTTCTAAGCCATCAACACCCAGGTCATATTGAAATTTAGAACTTGATTTTTGCCAAACGAGGAACGAAAATTCACCCACCTTTCTTCTTGGCTGGCCATTGTACATCAAGGTTTAATACAAGATCTAAAAGCATAAACAGAAAACATCTTTCAAAATCTCCTTACAAGTATTACTATAAATTTGTATCATTATCCTGTGAGCTCTGATGTCACGTGTTGTCTCATCCCACCCAAGCTTTCACTTTGATAGTTATACCATTCATTATTTATTTATTCATTAACTTGAATTAACCCTTTGTTTTCTTGACCTGCTGTTAATTAGAAACAAAAAGACTGAGGACTAACTAAAAAAAACTTTCCTCTTAACTTAGCCCTCAGGCTCTATCATTACATAAGAATTTTGTACAACTATATTTCCCTATAATACCTATAATACATGTACGGTAGATCATTATCTATTACTATTGTACGAAAATATGGCTTAATTCGTTGAGCAATGATCTTGGTTAAGTTTCGGCCAGACCAACACTATGGATTTTAAGATAATTGAGGATCAAGAGCAGCCTTTGTAATTACATCAACAAATCGGCAGACCCATTTCTTCATGCTTCATCATTACTAACAAATATTGAAGTGACATAAAACAACCACTGAGGACGTGAAGAAAATGTGACAGTGACCATCCTCAGTGACTACACTTCATAATATATAATCACTTCTCATGATTGTGAACTGACCACTCTCACTGCATACCTAGCCCCTTACTACTAACCACCTCTCATGCTTGTAAGCACTTTATATCAATATTGAAAGGGTGCTATATGAAACATATATCTTTTAATCATTATTACATGTAAGAGACATGGCTTACATATTTCTCCTGCGTTTGTGCAGTTTGTTTGCAATAGGCAAAGTTTCCTTGAACTCTGTGGCGCCTAATCAACTAGATTGCCGAAAATGACTAATAGATAACTGTTTTTGTCCCSTTTAAGATCATATGCAATATATTTTACGTGGAAGTACAACCTGAGGACACACTACATTTCTCAATTGAAATTATAGAATAATAAAGAGGATGTCTTTAACCATACAAATTAAAATTTGGATAAAATGACTAGAAAACATATCAATTTGATGAGCCCTGTAAATATGTTGTTATTAATTAAAAACAAAATTTACTCGTTAACCCCCCTCCCCTTCTCCTAAATAAATAAAAACTGTTTTCATTTGGTTCACAAAAAAGCAAAGTCAAAGTTTTTAAAACGTTCTAATAATTAAGACTTGTAGTTTGAAAAAATTTTAAAATGTTTTTGACAAAATTTGTTTTGGGATGTATTCCATTTTTGAGGTGCGGGAACCCTGTGGTAAAACATCAAAATATATAACTCATAATTTAAGAAGTTCAATCCATGGGATTTTGGGGAATCTTTAATATGTTACTTGGGTTACTCCTGTCTGTTGTATAGGAATGAAGTTAATCAGGTTTGCTACTGCTTTGACAACATACAACAGCTTTGCTGTTGTTTTTAATGATGTGGGATTCCTGTGGTGAATCTTCAATTCAATTATTCAGGATTTTCCACCGAAGGGATTTTTAGGATGTTTAGTATGTTTAGGACACCTCTACTGACATAATTGCAGCTAAAAAAATTCTAATGCAACTAGTTTGAACCTAAACCTTAGATTGACTGAACTATTCCTGGGGTAGCCGATCGATGAAATCAATGATCGGAAATCCAATCGATAAATTGATATCAATCGATAAAATTAGTTAATCAGTATCGATTGGCATCTGTCATGAAAGGTCTGTACAATGTTTACACAACATTATATTGTCGCAGAAAAGTGATCAACATGAGATGTATCTTGAAACAGTAATATTCAAAATCAATAAATGGATAGTGCAGGCCTGGTCCATACTCAAAATGAAGCCGTCTGATCACTGTGACTGATAACACCTCTACTTAATCTCCGACCCTAGTTTTTAATATAAAGCATAGTATCTCGGAAGTGAATCCAAGAATACTATGTAAGGCACAGGTATTCGGACTCAAGCAAGGGGAGAAGGGAAAGGGTTTTTGTGCGTAAATTGTTAAAGAGTATGTAAGAGTCGCGTTTATAGAGCATGAGCATATGGAGGGGAATGAGTTTTTACAAGTATCGAGTATTGTAGATCGAAAGAGATATAGGGAATCGGTCACAATGATAATATTAAGGGCAAAGGAGGAAAATATGAAATTTATAGGGATTAATCTGAAGGTAGTGCGGGGAATAGGGGAAATATGCTGCGTATGGCAATGGCATGTGCGTAGGGGGCGGTGTTGATATGATGTATCGAAAATTAAATTGCTTGTCAGTTTGTATGATGAGCTCATGTGTAGTAGGTAGAACCGAAAGCAGCAGGTAGGGGGACTCGCGGAATCCAAATCACCAAGCATCGAATTTCACGGGTATTGCCCGCGTTTCAGGCCCCTCTAAATTTGTGCGTCCGCATCGGGTATTACCCGCGCGATGATTCCCTTACTACTGCTGCGCGAAATCTATGTATTAAGTTAAAATGTTTGTGTCGCAAACGAGGGTTAAAATATTTCTTAGATATAGATGGACGCTATCAGGAGCATTCAAAACAAAACTGTACGCAAGCTGCGAACCCAGGTGTTGGATCGTTTGGACGCCGACTTCGCCTTCACGACTTTTATGGAGGGAGATACGGACGAGACTATGGACGACGCAAGGGCTGAAAAAATAATTGACTTAATTCCTGAAGGCAATTACCGCTTGGAATTAACGTTCATAAAGTATTTAGATGGTGACTGGGTAATAGAAAGGGGCCGTAATCCTATCCGGGCGTCTGGTAAGCAGAACCTGTTTGTCTTAAACAAGCACACACGCCCCGGAGCGTTGGTAGGCATCGACATGTTGTTCTACGAAGTTGCCTATCCAGTCACCGTAGTTATTTATGCTGCTTATGAGATCAAGAAGCCGGATGTTAAAAAGCTTAAGCCAATGCGGCATCCTGGTAACTGCGT